GCTGGGGCTGCTCTCCTGCGTGCTGGGCCGCCCGGCTCGAGCTCCGCCCGCCCGCCACGCCCGTGCAGGCGGGGGCTCCAGAAAGGGGAGGCCCTGGCGCACGCGTGGCTGGAGGAGGAGGAGGAGGAGGAGGAGGAGGAGGAGGAGGAGGAGGAGAGAGAGAGAGGAGAGGAAGAGAGGAGGAGTAGGAGGAGGAGGAGGAGGAGGAGGAGGAGCAATGCGCCGGAGTGGATCCGAGCGACGGCCGAGGGCTGGGGCTGCTTCGCTGGCGTGTTGGGCCTCCCGGCTTGCCACTCCGCCCGCCCCGGCCCGCCGCGTGCAGCGAGGGGCTCCAGAAGGGAGCGCTGGCGCACGCGTGAATGTCTCGGTTTGGTAGGGAGGAGTGAGGAAGGAGGAGGACAGGAGGAGGAGAGGAGGAGGAGGAGAGGAGGCTCGAGGAGGGAGGACGAGGGAGGGCAGGAGGAGGTGGGGAGGCGGGGGGGAGGTGTATGGGGGTAGGAGGGGGAGGAGGGGATAGGAAGTAGGCAGAAGGAGGAGGGGGAGGAGGAGGAGGAGGAGGAGGAGGAGGAGGAGGAGGAGGAAGGGGAGGGGGAGGAGGAGGAGGAGGAGGAGGAGGAGGAGGAGGTCTGGAGGAGAATCGGTTGTGTAGGGGATCTTTTTTTGTCCGTCGGCGGCAGGGCCGATCTGGCTGCGCCATCGATCGAGCCAGACGGGGGCACACCGAGAAGCGACTTGGCCAGCGTGCAAGAGCGGGACGAGGGCAGAGGGGGCGGCGGCGGCGGAGGGGGGCGGGAAGAAAAGGCCACTCGGAGGCAGAAGGGTTCTCTCCTGAGTGTGCTGGCGCGGCCAGCCTCGTCAGCGTGATCCATGGCAGCTGCCAGGCCGCAGCGCCGGGGCGCCCACGGGCGATGACGGGGCCCGGTGCGTGTAAAGCGAGTAGATGCTGCGGTGACGCTGCCGATGAAATAGGCGAAGTACTTGGGGCGACATAATGAGGGTCGCAGGGCCGCCCAGGTGGGTGCTCTGTGACAAGTTACGGCATGTTCGCGAGCAGTCCAGGTTTGGACCGCAACTTGCAAAATATCGGGCCCGCGGTGGGGAATAAACAATGACATAAACAAAAATTCGGAGGTCCGCGAGGATCCCTCGGATCGGCGCTGGGCTCCCCCCCCTGTCGGCGCCTCCCGCGCCGCCCATGGCGCGCGCCAGGGAGGGGGGGTCAAGCGCCGTTCGGAGACATCCGCGCGGACCTACTGTTTGTTCCCCTATGGGTGTAGTGAGATCGCTTCGCGGTCGGACCGAGACACGGAGGACGGTACACTGAAGCTCTTCGCGTTTGATGGATCTTGTGCATCTTGCGATGGTTGCCCTGGAATGTTCTTCGTGTTGGCTGGCGGAGGGTCTCGTGCTCTTTATTGCCTGCATGCACCATGCACAGACTGCTGCGCCCAAGCTGCAGTCATCCGGCGATGGTCCCGCGGTCCCGGGCAGGGCCCCCAGAGGCCGATGGCGGCCAAGCCATGGACGTCGTGATTTTTTTGCGACGCGTGGATGCAAGGGTAAGCGCCCTGCCGGGCCCGTCCCTCCGCAGGAGGAATATTTTCAAACATAGTTTCAAACATGGGGATTATTGTTTGAGTATTTTTTACCGTTTTCGAATATTTGATTATTTTTTTATTTTTCGTCGAAAATTCCCCTGTAGGGGGACACGCCCGACTTAACCCCATCTGTGAGAGGCGCCCGGGCTTGCGGCCAGGCTCTGGTTTTGCAACAGGCCAGTTCTGATGCGATCACCTCCTGGGACTTAATCTTCAGCATCGGCGCTGGTGTATTCTTGGTCGGAGTGGTCCACGCCCGGTTTGACCCGTTCTAATATCGACTAATACGGCTTAGCCGCCCAATCCGTCCTCATTTGGTTGCATGGCCCGTTTACTCGGGCTTAGTCGCCGTTGATCGTTCTCATGGAGACATCCCATGCGTTCCTTAACACATTCACAGACCAACTTCGTCAGCAATGTCGTAGAGCCAAGACGACGAAGTAAGGACCACTGTGAATTCAGGAGGTGCTGTAGTTTCTGGGTCGTGCATCAGAGCTGGGTCGTGTAAGCTGTTCGTGGCCGAAGCTCGCCGTGCCCTGCAAAACCCTTGCTTCTTATTCGCTGTTCTTCCCTGACATCCGCCGATCTGTTTTCTCCCACGCTCGGCCCCTAGGCGTCCCGACCTGTCCGCGGGGCCAGTTGTTCATCCCGAGCAGTGTTGTTGGTGGTCCTGGGGTCTGGCAAGGGCCCACAGAGAACTCGGGGGTGGACAGAACCTTCAACAGTGACACGTCGATTAGTGAATTGTCCGTTTTCGGTTCTCGAGAGGGCGCCGCTGCCGTCATTTTCCAGGCTTGCGCCCACCAGGTTTGGGCCTCAGGTCGTTTTCACTAAACCACGTTTTGCTAAAGGGGGGGTTGGCCTATATACACATATATATATATATGTATAGATTGCCACCC